GAGGTAAGACTACTACTTTCAAAGCAAATTATTAATGATCTCTTGCTAGCATAAAAATACCTTTACTTTTAGTCCTTCTTGCAGATTTTATATATTCTAATAGCAATTCCTTGTGATTTTCTGTGTTGACAGTGGTTCTACGTAGTTTTCTGTCTTCCTTTCTGACATGTGTGACCTTTTCCTTTTCTTGCCTTGTTGCATTGGCCAAAGCTTAGAGCACTAGCAGCTGAGTCAAAAATCAGTATGGCTAGAGCATGCATCCTTGACTCCTCCATCTTTGGGAAAAACATTGAGCTTTTTACTCTTAAGTGGGGTGCTAACTATAATTTATCAAGCTAGGAAGCTCTCTTTATTTCTAATTTTTGAATTTTGGAATGATGTTGAATCTTATCTATTCCCATTGATCTATTCCCATTGATCCGATCAGTTAAGCTTTTTTTAAATAGCCATTTACTATGGTGGACCATGGTGTTTTCTTGTCCTTTTGGTGTCTGCATGGTTTGTTGTGACACTCTTCTTTCTGATGGTAGTACACCTGGTGGAGTAAATGTCTTTTCATAGTGCTTGGGGGCCAGAGAGAGCAAGAGAGAAAGGGGCCAGGGACAACATAAACCTCAGGATATAGCTTCAAGGACACACACAATCCTGGTGACCTACTTCTTCCAGCTAGGAAAGCCTGCCCCATCTTCTAGCCTATGAGGTATGAACACATCAATCAGCACACACATTGATGAGGTTGGCATGGTTACAGTCTAATCACTTCTTAATAGCCAACCAGCCGGGGACCACCAAGCCTTCCCAGGAAAGGAGAGTTCATGTCTAACCATAACACTGGCAAGACATACTACTTCTCTAGCCTGCTTCCTTTGGCTTGATTTTGCTTCTTTGGTTGGCTCTTGAGGTTGTTGACTTGAGATGTCTCCCTTTAGTAGATGCATTTAATGCCATCAGTTTCCTTTCTGCCTTACTTTAACCACGAACCACAGATTCTTAGGTTTCATATTTTTATTCAGTGTGGTAATGTTTTTTATTTCCTTCAGACTTTCTTTTCAACCTGTGTATTATCTGGAAGTCTGTTTCCCTTGTAGAAGGTTTGAGGTTTTCCTGTTTCTGCTGTTGATTTATAATTTGATTCTGTTGTGGTCAGAGAATGCATTGTGTAATTTCAGGTCTCTAACATTTGTTGAGATGGAGTCTGTGGCCTAGGATAGAGTCTTGGTGTCATTCATGGATATTGTCAGCATATTTATTCTGCTTTTGACTGGTCAACAAGTGGAAAAGGTCACATGTAAAAGTCCCTGTTAGCTGCCAGTATTGCTGAGTTCTACTTCTATTGGCCTGTTACTGGTTGAGAGAAAGGTTGAATCTTTTGCCTGTCACCTTGAACATGTCTGTTGTTTTTCTCAGTTTTTGCTTCATACATATGAAGCCCTCTTGTTTTAGTTAGCCATTAAGATTGTTACAGCTTCTTGGTGTATGATTTTCAGCGTCCTTTCTTGTGATTTTTAATAATGGCTCTTTTTACAAAGTCTCTTTCCATTTCTGGTGAATTAATTTGCCAGTTAATTCAGCCAGAGAGTAATACAGTCACGACAGCTTTCCTTTGATTCATGGTTATGTGGTGTATTTCTTTTTACCCTTTTAACTTGTCTTAATATTTGAAATGAGCTTGTTGTTGTTGTTCTTGTTGAGAATTTCCTTCTTTTGGTTAGGATTTATAGACACAGATCTTTAACTTACTGCCAAAAGTGATGGCTCACGTTTTACAGAATTCCTCTGTATCCACATTCTGGTAACTTCATTATTCTGAGGAAGCTGGCTTCCATCTCAGGTCGCTCTGCTGACCCTGTCCAGAGGCACGGCCAGCTGTTCTTGATCCTCCTTGACCTGATGCTGTTTGGCTTCAGCCGCTCTTTGGCTGGAGCAGATTGGAGTGGCATATAAGGTCTGTAGGCAGGGCTTCCGAAGACTCCTTTGGGAGATGGGTCAAAGTGTGTGTGTGTGTGGGGGGGGGGACTTCTTACATTCTCTTGCATTTTTTCTTTTCTTTTCTTTTCTTTTCCCTAAGAGTCTAGTTAGGTAGCTCCGGCAGGCATTAAACTCTTCCTCCTCCTGCCTCAGCTTCTTATAGAGGCGTGTGGCGTGTGGCTTTATGCCTGGCTCACTATAGAATGCTTTCATTGCTTTGAGAATTTTTGTTGTTGTTGTTGTTTCATATCTTAGGCATATTTTGTCCTGATTATTTTCTTAAGATACTGTTATCATGTTAATAATATCATATAGCCTAGGGACTCAGACTTCAAATCGGACTCAGACTTACAGTCTGAATCACTAGGCTATAATTTTTGAGTTCGGCTGGCGTTGGAGTTTCAAGTGAGGATAGTGGGCATAGCTTATAAATCATCCAGCAGCATATTATATTAAGATATTATTTAAGAATAAGTGGTATATTGGTTTCTCTTTTATTTGAATTTTGGAAGTGCTTTCCGAGTTGTTTGCTGGCCTTGGGTTCTTTCATTTTTAGCATTCCCTGGTGGCTTTCAGACATTACATACACCAAAGAAGAGAAAAATTCTTCCCAACAACATTCCATGGTCTGATCTTGATTTTAAAATAGTTCTTAGAGGAATAGAAAAGACATTCATAAGAAATATTGTAATGTACTTAATATAGGGCAAGTTCCTAGCTCCACAGGGTTGAGTAGATGAGCCTGAGGAAGACTCTGTTAAAACAAGTCCTCAGGGCGGCCCCTTGCCTGGCTGCCCGAAAGGCTCCCAGAATTCCCTGCAGGTGGAGGGCGAAGGACGCAGGCAGAGACTGGCTGCCTGGGGCAGGGCGGCAGGCAGGATGGGCGCAGGATGGGCGCAGGATGGGCGGGGTGGCAGCTTCCCTCCCCCAGGGCACACCACAGCTGGCAGGCCTGACCAGCCAACGAGAGCTTCTGCTTAAATATTCCCCAGCTGCAGCAAAGCATAGCTTATGTCACTGTCCATGAGAGAGTTCTGTTGTCAGAACATGGTTGTGGTCCAGGGGAAACACCTGGGGCTTCACTGCTGTTGGACAAGTCCGTTTTCAGCTGAGAACTAGGCATCTAAAGTCCTCCAGGATGCCTCCCAGATGGGGAGAAGAGAGGGAAAAAAGAAAGAGGGAGAGGTGGAATGAGAGGAAGAAAAGGGAAGTAACTTGCAGAAACACAGATATGGTGCACCTTTGGTATTGCAGAGACCTGGCCAAGGAAAGACTGTGCATGCTCAGGACGCAGAGCTCAGGGCTGTTTTGCTGGTACTTGATTCAGTTTTGTTTTTCTTTTGCCCACAGTGCCCCCCCAATTTTCCTTATGATGTGTCACTATCACTTAAATGAAGCACATTAGCATTTTCCTTGCTTTGGGGGCATCAGTAGTTTTGAGAATGCATATTGAAATACTCAGTGGATCACACTAGGATTTAAATACAACTAATGAGGGAAAAACTGGGAGAGAGCAAGGGAAGGGGTGACATTGTCCCAAAGGAAATGCACTCTACCTGGCTTATGTAATTGTAATCCCTCCATACATTGCCTTCATAAGAATAATAAAAAATAAATAAATAAGCACTAACCACTTGGGATTGCCTGAAGGCCTCTCCACATCAATTTCCTGCAAAATGCAATGCAGGAACTTACATTTATTTATTTATTTATTGCCAGTCCTAGGGCTTGAACTGAAGGCCTGAACACTGTCCCTTTTGCTTAAGGTTAGCACTCTACCATTTTCAGCCATAGCACCACTTCTGGTTTTCTGATGGTTAATAGGAAATAAGAGTCTTACGGATTTTCCTGCCCAGGCTGGCTTTGAACTGTAATCCTCAGATCTCAGCCTCCTGAGTAGCTAGGATTACAGATATGGGCCACCAGCTTCTGACCTTTTTTTTTTTTTTTTGCTTTTTTCTGATACTAGGGCTTGAACTTAAGGGCAGCACCCAAGCCCTGAGTTCAAGCCCCAGGACTGGCAAAAAAAAAAAAGAGCAATCTAAGCTGCTTAGGAGGTTGAGATCAGATGGTCATGGTTTGAAGCCAGCCCAAGCAGGTAAATCTGTGAGAATCTTATTCCCAATGAACTACCAGAAAAAGCCAGAAGTGGAGCCGTGGCTCAAGTGGTAGAGTGCTAGCCTTAAGCAAAAAAAACCAAAAAACCCACAAACACTAGCCTAGGCACTAGCACCCAAGCCTTGAGTTCAAGCTTGTGTGTGGCACACCCACACACACAAAAAGACTTCCTGCTGGGCTCCTGTGACTTGTGTTTGCAATCCTAGCTACTCAGGAAGCTGAGATCTGAAAATCCCAGCTCAAAGCTAGCCTGAAAGCTAGCTCAAATCCTAGCTCAAAGCTAGGCAGGAAAAATCTGTGATACTCTTACCTCGAATCAACCACCCAAAAGCCAGAAATGGAGCTGTGACTCAAGTAGTAGTGCACCAATCTTGAACAAAAAGGCTAAGGGACAACACCCCAGGCCTTGAGTTCAAATCCCAGCACAAAAAAGGACTGTCCTGCAGTTATGAATGGCGACAGATAGGGTGTACACAGCTGTCCAGTCCTGCTAGCCAGCAGTGCTGTAGCTTAGATATCCCGGAGCCAGGGGTGAGAAGAAGGGGGCTGGATTCAGGGTGGAGCACAGTTGCTTCTCCATCCCAGGCCAGGCAGTGCAGGCCTTCACCTTCTACAAAACGGAGCCCCAGGCCACACAGTAGAGCCTGCCTCACCTGCTCTGGGGCACATGGAGTGGCAGGAGGAAGGTGTGGGAGGCCAGGCCTGGCTTGCCTGTTCCCTGGGCCTGAACGTTTATGGATGGCAAAGCACATGAGCATTCCACCACACCTGTGAGCCAGGAGAGTTGAATTCCTGAAACCATTTGGAAAGAGTCTTCTACAGTTTTGGTCATCGTGGCTGTGCTTGCCGGAGGGGCGGGCCTGGTGATGCTTGTTCACGTCTCACATGTGTTCATGAACTTGACCGTTCCACAGCGTGGACCATGCTCAGGTGTCAGGGGGCCTAATCATCGACAAGGAATCTGAGGTTTACAAGATGCTGCAGGAGAAGCAGGAGTTGAATGAGCCCCCGAAGCAGTCCACTTCGTTCCTGGTTCTGCAGGAAATCTTGGAGTCAGATGAAAAAGGTAATCGTCCCTATCTGCAGCAGCCACAGGTTCTGAGTCAGGATCAGGAGTGAAGGTTAGTCAGTGCCGAAGCCTGGAGTAGGTGGAAGAAGCATGCTGTGTTCTGAATGTGTGGTTGTTTTCTTTTCCACTTGAGACATAGTTTTGCTAAGTTGTCCAGGCTGATATGAAATAATTCACCTTCTGTCTCAGCCTCTCATGGCTGAGGTTATAGGGATGCACTACCACACTTGGCATGGATTTTTATGCGGGGTGGTGGTGATGATGGTGGTGATGGGAGGGAAGCGGGGGTAGGTGAGAGTACCTGTCCTGGGGCTTGAATTTAGGGCCTACTAGGCCCTGGGAGAGAGAGAGAGCGAGAGAGAGAGAGAGCGACTCTCTTGCCTGGGCTGGCTTTGATCCACCATCTTTAGATGTCAGCCTCCTCAGTAGCTAGAATTATAGGTATAAGCTGCACTAGCAGGCACTAGCCTGGCTTGCCATGGACTTTTTAGGTTGGGGCTGGGAAGGTGGATCAGTGGTAGAGTGCTTGCCTTGCATACATGAGGCCCTGGGTTCGATTCCTCAGCGCCACATAAACAGAGAAAGCCGAAAGTGGCGCTGTGGCGTAAGTGGTAGAGTGCTAGCCTTGACCTGAAGAGCTGAGGGACAGTGCCCAGGCCCAGAGTTCAGGCCCCACAACTGACCCCCCCCCAAAAGAAAGGTGGAAGGTCATTTAAAAGAGAGAGCAAGGGAGGCTGGGGATATGGCTCACAGGTAGAGTGCTTGTCTATATGCCTAAGGTCCTGAGTTCAATCCCAGTAATACCACCCCCCAAAAAGTGTGAGAGCGCCCCCTCTTGGCCGACCTAATTTTACTTAGGAAGCTCTGTACTGGCTGTGGGCTTCCTGCCACACATGCATCAGGAAGCTGAGGTTGGAGTAAACGTGACTTGGGGATTCTGTCAGTCGATGTCTTGATCATTTGTTTGGTCTGAGCCCATACACCATGCTTCTGTGGTGTGGGTGGGGGCCACCAGTGATGTGTGGCAGGTGGAATGAAAGTGGACCAGCTGCCCAGTGAAGCCAGCTACCTGCTTTCTTTTGGGAACCACTGTTGGGTATAAGATCTCTTGAGAGGCTGAGATTCCCCCCTTCCCAGGGCCTTGTCCGCACTCTGTGCTTAGGCTAGTATCTGGACTACTGTAGGCTCAGGGGTCACACATACTGCAGGAAACCCATCACAGTGTGCTGTCAGATGCGTGCACCTGAAGGCCTCGGCTTGGCCTTCACGTGGCCTGGGGAGCCCTGATGCCTGAGGTGCTCAAGGCTCCTTCCAGTGCCTCTGCAGGCATCAGGTCAGTTCTGCTTCTCTGTCTTTATTTTGGTGACATTCCAGCAGATAGCAGAAACAGTAGATCACTTAATAAAGACAGTGACAGTGGGTGCATTGAAGAGGGCGCCTTTTCTCCTCTTCATTAAGGTTCTCTGGCCTCCCAGCTGCTTATCTACCAGGACCTCAAGGCACCAGGGACAAAGGAAGGGGACAGGGCTAACTGGGCAGGCCCTTTCAGTTGAGCTAGCTTTCTCCATCCAGAAGTCCCACAATACTCCACCTACTTTTCTTTTCTTTTTTTGTTGGTTGTGGAGCTTCAACTCAGGGCCTGGGTGCTATCCCTGAGCTTTTCTGCTTAGGACTAGCACTCTACCACTTTGAGCCATAGCTCTACTTCTGGTTTTCTGGTGGTTAATTGGAGATCAGAGTCTCATGGACTATCCTAACCAGGCTGGCTTTTAACCATGATCCTCACATCCTCCTGAATAGCTAGGATTACAGGCGTGAGCCACCAGCGCCTGGCTCCACTTACATTTAATTGAACAACATTTAGCCACATGTACTTGTGTGATCAGGAATTATCATTTTCTTTCATTCCTGAGGCTGATGCCTTAAAAAAATAGTATTACAGTGTGAACTGAGAGCCTCATACATAGCATAAACACTCTGAACACATAAGTCACAGCTAGCCCTTTTTAGGTTAGATCTCATTTTTCTGTCACAGCCATCCTTGAACCACAATCTTTCTATTTCTGCCTCCTATGTAGGTGAAGCTACAGGTGTTGGTGAGTATGCCTGGCCCCAGATGTCTTTTACCTAAAATAAAAATGAAGAGTTTTGCTAAAATAGTAGTTTCTTCCATGTCTCTTAACACGTACTTGAGTTAAATTTTCAGTGAAAAAAAAAGAATTTCAGTGAGTGCAATAGTGTAAAAAAAGAAAAAGTAAAACAAATCCAATAGTAAGCTAGTTAGAAATAGAATTTCCCATGTTGGCTGGATAAGTGAGAGAAAATAACTTTGTGCCAGCAGGTGGCGATGTGGGACTGAACAACCCACAGTGCGGGCTGCCTCATTTAGCTTACAGCCTGCTCTGCTGCTGCTGCAGAGCTGTTCTATCAGTCCAGGTCTCTTCATCACAGGAAGAGAAGTGGATTCTTCTACCCAGTGTGGATTTATGTCTTTCTTTGGTTTCTCTTCTACCCCATTGCACCCCCACTTTTTTTTTCCTGGTGATTTTTCTGCTGATGGAGTTATGTGAAAAAGGCACTCTTTCCTGAAGGAGACCCTGAGCTTGCTCAGCTGGTCCCTTCAGAAGTTAGTTTGCCTTTCTTTCCATGCTGTGCAGATGTGCAGAGCTGCTGCTGTTCTTTGTTGTCACGTGGGGTAGACATCCAAGTGCTATCAGCCAGGGATGCTTGAGACAGGAGGTTTGAAGCTGCTGCCCTCCAGGCCCTTCTGAGGCCCCTTCCTAGGTAGCACTGAGATTGCAATAGGACACTTACCTTGGATGCAAAATTTAAGAGGGCATTAAAAAGCACCATAGTCAGCAGGCTCCAGTGGCTCATGTGGGTAATCCTAGCTACTCAGGAGGCTAAGATCTGAGGATCGAGGTAGAAGTCAGCCTGGGCAGAAAAATCTGTGGGACTATCAGAAATCTCTTGGCCTTTTAGCTTACAGCTAGTGCTCTATCACTTGAATCACAGCTCCACTTCTGGCTTATTTTTGTTAATGGGAATTAGTCACTCAGATTTATCTGCTGGGGGCTGGATTTGAACTTCAGCCTCCTGAGTGCTAGGATTATAGACATGAGTCACTGGCACCTGGCTCAGATATTATTTTTTATTTACTTATTTATTAATCTGTATATTATTTTTTATTTACTTATTTGTTAAGCTATATGTTAATCTGTATATATATATATGCATACATATTTTGGCAGGGATGGTACTAGAGTTTGAACTCTGTTGCTTGGAGGCTCATGCTCTTGAACCTCCAGACCCCTGTGTAGAGCACTCTAAGGTACACATCAGTATTTGCAAATATCTAATTCAAATGTAATATGATTTTTGTCGTGAGGGTTGACTGTGTGTCAGGTACTGTAGGGGGGCTTTTTATGTATGCTTTAATCTTTTTTGTGCAACAACGAAGGGAAAAATGATTTCATGGTTTATAGAAAAGGCTGGGAGATCAGAAAGGTTTAGTAACTTGTACACTAGCACACAGTAGGGTCACATCTGTTGGACTCCAGTGTCTCTGACCTACTTGGGCATAGATGTGTATGTGTGGCTCTGGCCAATGTAGGAGTTTTTCTTGTTTCAGGGGACCCCAACAAGCCCTCCGGATTTAGAAGTGTGAAAGCTCCAGTCACCAAAGTGGCTGCCTCGATTGGAAATGCTCAGAAGCTGCCCATGTGTGACAAATGTGGCACTGGCATTGTGTGAGTATCTGCTTTCGGGGTCTTGGCAGCCCTGCAGGTGGGCTGACTGGGTAAGATGTGGGCAGCTTGCATGTGAAGGAGCTAAATAAACCCTTGACCTTGTGAACTTGTCAAAGCAGGAAGTGGGCGGGGCTTCTTTACATTCCCGCGGGAGGCTCCGCAGGGAGGCCTGGGCTTTGCTGTCCTGGGCCTTTGTGGAGAAGCTCTGCTCCCAGCTCCAGGAGACCAGCGCAGAGCCAGGTGCCGCCCTGGTGCTCACCTCACTGACCCAGGCCTCTTCTTGCTGTAGCGGGGTGTTCGTGAAGCTTCGAGAACGTCATCGCCACCCCGAGTGTTACGTGTGCAGCGACTGTGGCACCAACCTGAAGCAGAAGGGCCATTTCTTTGTAGAGGATCAGATCTACTGTGAGAAGCACGCCCGGGAGCGGGTCACTCCCCCTGAGGGCTACGACGTGGTCACCGTGTTTCCCCAGTGATGCACAGGCCACGCCGACTGGGCTCCGACTCCTCTGCGGACAGCCCGCCTTCGCTCGGTGTCTCCCTGGCTCCTTCCGTGTGCAGGCCGCCTTGGGCCGACTGACGCACACTGGCAGTGTGAGGCGGCTTTGACGGCCATTCGTGGTCCTGCCAGCATCACCGCGCCCTTCTTCACCATGGTCCCTCTCTGCTGCAAATGGCCGTCAGCCCCTCTCAGGATTTAATACGTCTGATATGGATTTCCTTTTTACCCAATAAATGTGGCCTGTTAAAAAGTGTGTTGTCTCCTTTTCCACAGTGTGTTCTGGGCCCTGCCTGGTGAGATCCTCCTCTCTTGCTTTGGTTTTCTACTTTTGTGTGATTTGCGGGCCTTTCTGGGTATGAGGCTGTTTCTTAGCACCTGGACAGGCTGTGTTCTTCTGTTTCTTGAAGCTTGCTTTTAACTGTGTTTCTCTGGCACATCCATCCAGACAATGCCTGTTTATAGCTGGGGCTTGGTCATAGGGAAAGTGATTAAAATCAGAATATGTAAACAACTCAAAATATTGCATACCAAAAGGACAAATCATCTGTAGATGGTCTCAAAAGAAAGCCGGGTGCTGATGGCTCATGCCTGTAATCTTAACTACTCAAGAAGCTGAGTCCTAGAGGAATGCATGCCAAGCCAACCTGGGCTGAAAAGTCTGTGAGACTTCATCTCCAATTAGCCAGAAAAATACTGGATTGAAGGCATGGCTCAAATGGTAGAGCTCTAGCTATGAGCAAGCAAGGAAGCTGAGAGATGAAGGCCCAGAGTTCAAGTCCTGGTACTGGCACATAGACACAAGAAAAGAGTTATCACAAGAATAACTAAGAAATTCATGCAGAAGCCAGGCACCTGTAATCTTAGCTACTCAGGAGGTTGAGATCTGAGGATTACAGTTTGAAGCCATCTCTAGCAGAAAAATCTATGAGACTTTTAATCTCTAACCATTGAAAAATCAGAATTGGAACTGTAGCTTACATGGTAGAGGGCCAGCCAAGCAAGAACATGAGGCTCATTGTTCAAGCCCCAGAACCAACATACACAAAAGAGAAATTCATGAAGGAAAGATTTGTTAAATATTGTTTGTCGTAATGGAAATGCAAATAAAAATGGCACCGAGATTCCATCTACCCCAGCCAGAATGGCTGTGTTTCACTTGAATGCTTAGAGGCAAGTACTGTGCTACTGAACTCCACCCATATTCCTTTGTCTACTCCTTCCCTCCAACCTTCCCTCCTTTATCCCCTTCATCTCTCCCTATCTTCCCTCCCTCCTCACCCCCTCTCTCAGTTTCTAATCCAGTCCAATGAGGGAAGAACTGACTCCCAAGAGAAAAGCATTAATCCCATGGAATCCTTAACAACCTCTCATCACCTTTGGAAAGTCTGCCCTCAACACCACCAAAATGGCAGCCACATTTCACCATGAGTTTAGAAAGGAATACACCATTATCCACACCATAGGCACAGTTGGTCCACTCACAGGCTTGTCCCTGATTTCCTGGTGGCAGCTTCTAGAGGAATCCTGGGAAGACCCAGAGAGATTTTCATTGTGTCTCTGGCATATCTCTTTGAATTCTTCATTTTTCCCATTAGTTGCTTTTGAAAGCTGCTATTACTAAATATGTGTATTGTCCCGACCCACAGGACGTCAACAAGGGCAGTGAACCTAAGAGAGAAGGAATGAAGGGACAAGAGACACGAAGAATGACAGCAAGACAGGGATTCTGATCAAGCTGCTAATTTTTATTTTTCACACAGGGGTATTTATATGCTTGGAATAAGGAAGCTTTTTCATTGGCTGTTAAGGAAGCTTTTTCATTGGCCGTAGCAGCTGCAGGATGTTTGCTTAGGGCAGGGTGAAAAGATCAGATTCTGTAAACAGCCTCAAGATGTTCCAGTGAGATAGTTAAGCCTATCATGTTGAGAGACTCCCTTTTGACTCCCGACATCTCCCCCTTTCTTATTTAGAAAATTGATCATCAATTGTTGGCTGCTCTTTTTAAGGGGATGACAGAGGCTCTGTTCTGTAGAGAGCTGCGTGCCGCACCTGGAAGATGGCGCTGGCTTCCGCCCTCCGCCTTCCCGATGGCAAGTGCTCTCTGTGGTAAACAACTCCTTATATGGCTAAGGCATAGAATCTGGCTTGCTTCCCCGCACCTGAACCTATTGGTGGTTCCCACGTGGCGTATCAGGGTTGGCTACCCAGCGGGTACTTAAGGCTGTGGGGAATTCTCCCTGGGGTTGGGGTCAGAAGATTACTCAAAGGTCCTGAATAAACTGCAGAGAGAAGAGTTCGGTGTTGCGTCTTCCTTGCTGGTCGAGGCGGTAGCGACACGTGGTGGCCCGTACGAGGACTCAGCCATAACCCCAACGAGGACTCAGAACTCTCTGCAGTCAGGGTGGTGCACCGGTAAGTTCCCAGGTAAAGGGGGAATCCGCGACAAGAGCGGGGGGATTTTTGCTCTTCTCGGTAGATAAAGAGAGAGCGAGAACCCGGGGCTAGTCAATAGAGTAGCCAAAAGTGAAAGTAAAAGTTTGTTTACCAGCTTTAAATGTTTAAAACATGGGCTCTTCTTCTTCGCACCCAATTTTTTTGGCTCTCAATGAGCTACTGCACTCAAAAAAGTTAAAAAAGAGTACTTTAGAGAGATTTTTGGATGAATGTGACATCGTTGCCCCGTGGTTCGCTGTCTCTGGAAGCCTCACGGTGGCCTCTTGGGAGAAACTAGGGAGGGACCTAGATTTTGCCTCTGAACAAGGAACGCTTAAGAGCGGAGTGAGACCAATATGAAAACTGATAAGAGGCTGTCTT